CATTCAAGTGAATTTAAATTGTTCAAGATAATTGGTGGGTCAAAGTTTGAGAATTTTAAATTTGGAAACAAAATCCATGTGGAATAACAAGTTATTTGGGATTTAAGATATTCATCATCATTCAAGTTCTCCACCATCTCTTTCAAATTCTATTCCAAATCACAAATCACGTGTGTCCACTTTAAAATCCATTTATCCCATTTTTAAACCAAATGTCCATTTTTTCTATGTCATTATCCATTTGTACTCATTTCCTAAATCCATCCAAATTTTGATCCACTTGTTTATTTGTTTAACAATTTTCCTTTTAAATCCATAAACCACATTTTTAGTCCATATACTTTTTCATATTTTAAAGCAATTATTTCAATAACCATGGTCAAATAAATTGGCACCAATTCTAAATTCCACACTTTTTGTTTTTACAAGCCCAAATTCCAAATTACAAAGTCCATAAAGAAATTGCAAAAGAAAAGGCCCATAGCCTTGGAACAAAAAAAAAAGATCTCATGAAACTTAAAACCTAAAAAGGGTTTGACGACAACAAGAGATTTCTTAAAAAAAATAGTCGCAACACCAACAAACCTGTCTCTTCTCTACAAAACATTCTTCACTTTCTTTATTCTTCTTGGCATTCATCATAAACTCCCTCTCTCCATAACCTCAAAATCACCACATCCTCTCCCTACGAAAATGTTTCGTCATTTCTTCATGTGACTAAAAGCCTATTCATCTCACACTCTCACACATGGGATTTAAGAAAATAGAAAAAAGTGAACTCACATAATCTTACCACCACATTCTCACACACAACATCACGAGAACGTCACCCTTGTGTGATGTTAAAATCTGTTGCATCCTTATCTCTATTCACCACTACCATGTCATGAACCATCTCTTGTTACTCATCCTCAATTTTCTGAAGTCGGATCAAATATATTTGGGACTTTTGTGAGCTTTGTGAAGAGCAAGAATTTAAACGATGGAACAGAGAAAACGTTTCTTACTAAACTAAACGCTTTGGGGGAGCATCTCAAGGCCAATGGTCCATATGTATCCAGGGAGAAGATCACTATTGTTGATTTGATTTTGGCTCCAAAAATTTATCATCTAGTGGTTGCACTTGGCCACTTCAAGAATTGAACTATTCTTGAAAGTTTGACGCATGTTTAAAAAATACGTCAATTTGCTCTTCGCTCGCGCATCATTTGAGAAAACCAAGGCTGCAAAGGAATACGTCGTCAGATGGTTACCAAAGGTCAATTTGTGAAGTAGCTCAAAACTATGAGTTTAACCACATCATCAACACGTAGAAACAGCAGCAACATTTTGAATTTTTCATCGGCGAGTCGACTCGAGAGGTTCGAATTTTTTCGACAACAATAACTCATAACAACAGTTTCTGCCACAAATCCTCTTCTTCCCAACCTCTTCAAGACCTATACCATCACCACTATGAAACATAAGCCACTTCTCAGAACCACACTGCTACACTTCGTAGGCGTCGGTAACGCGATTCAAGCGACAACAACGACATCATCACCACTGTTACAACCTCACTTGAAGAAGACATGCTTTGTCTTTTTTGCAGCGATGATGGAGGAAGATCGTGAAACAAAGGCTGAGAGAGGGTGTTTTCATACTAATTAAAGATTATAGAGGGAGGTCTGTGTGAAGGATTGAGAAGTGAAATCAACGCGTGAGAGAGACGCGATTGCGAGACTTGAAAGGAAAGTGAAAGAGAGAATGAGATTTTAAGGTTGAGAAGCGGGTTTGTGCCACATACAGTGGTCCTCTGGTGAGCTATGAAGTGAAAACGAGGTTTGAGAGAGAAGAAGGTGAAGAACACAATATGTTGTTCTGATTTCTTCCCTTTTGTTTTTATTTTTAATTAATTTTTCATTTTATTTTTTTCTAATCTCTACTTTTCTTGTATTCAAATTTGGGTTTTACCTATAACCCTATTTAAGTTTGCTAGTATACACGCCAATCACTTTTTGCACCCCTCCTTATTCTAGACCCCCTCTTGTTTTTAATATGACATATTTTTCTAAACTAGTTTTTTAGATTGTTAGCATATTTTTCTAAAGTAGTTTTAGATTGTTAATATATTTTTCTAAATAAGTTTTTTTAGAGTTTTTAATATTTTGATTGTCTAGAGTTTTAATGATTTGTTTTAAAATCTTCCATTATTTTCTTTTCTAGCTTTGAATATATTCGCTCAATTAATTTCACTTTCATTTTTCTTCAGTTTTTGGGTCGATGAAGAGACCTCTAAAATCATTGTCGGTCAAATTATTGATAGATAACGGTTTTTCCGAGACCACTTTATTTTCTCTTTCAATTTCTTCTTCATTTTCGATTCTATTTACATTTTCTCGATCTATGAGGTCTTTCGATTCGTAAGTGTCGATTTATCGAAGTCGATAACCCAATTTCAAATCTATGGAAAATGACCATTTGGGTCATTTTCTTTACTTTGGGATAGTGATAGGCTACCTTCGATTAATCGACATGATGTTTGCGATTAAGACAAGATCCCATCTTTCTTTGGCCCGTGCGACACGATTTAAACGGAGAATAATCCTCAATATCATTTCTCTACCTTTTCTTTAGCATGAATATCAATTTACGTGACCTCATATAGTTTGAATTTCATCATAAGTCGAGCTACGACCGTTTAGCGTTACATTTTGTCTCGATTCAATTCGCTAATAAACTAACCACTAACATTACTTTCAGTCGAATATACCACTGTTTTATTTTCAGTCGATATTATCTTGTTCATATACTCATTGACATTTATTCTAATATGTTACTGTCAATATTCTTGTATATATTGTTATATATCCTGTATATTATTCGTATCTTGTATATATTCATATTCACTTGTACATTCTTTCAAAACACCTAATAAACTATCGAAACCATAAAACCCTAAATTGGTGTACTGTTGGTTGTTTTGTCCGAGTGACGGATCTTTGGACATTTTTAGGAACCCTAGCATGGAGTTATGTCCGACTTTCGCTTAAGGTGTAGTATAGGACACAATGCACACACACGGCTTCCTCTTGGACTGCCTGACAATGAGACCTTTTATTTCGTGCAATCCCATGTAATTTGTATGTACCCCTCTCCCATTTCCGATGTATGTATTTCGTATTTCTTTGACTGCGACTTATCTTCTAGGAGCACCCCTAGGGACTAGTATAACCGTTTTCAAACTAAATCTCGATTCTTCATCGAGTCATTTTCAAACACCCCTCTTTAAGTCGAGTGCTCGTCCGCATTTGTCATCAACCTATCGCACACACTGTTGCACTTCACCGTGAACTCGATATTAGGAGCACCCCCAGGGATTAGTATTGTTTCTCACGCCTTAACCCTTGACTCGTTGTCAAGCCTGGTTTTGTTTTCAATCAAAACCCTCGACTCGTCGTTGAGGTATTTTCAAACCCACTTCCATTCCACCACGCTTTTGCACGCAAATACAAGTCAAACCCTTGATCCAACGTCAAGCGGATTTTCTAAACAAACTATCGAACCAGTTCACCATTTCTTCTTTTACAACTTTTCTCCTAAAACTTTGGTCTCGTACCAAGTGCATTTTCAAATTCTTTTTCTAATAAAACTTGAATGGTTGTGGAATGGTTAGGAGTAGGTCTTCTCTTATCCCAAGTGCTTGACATTATCTTTAGGGTTCACTGTCGCAAAGAGCTTACCATTAAAGATCAAAAATATTTTAATAAAGGAATAAAGTTCTCTTTGTATTGAACTAAAGAGAGAGGATTAAGTGCAAACTTCTTCCTCTCCGAGTTTCAGGATACTCACTGTAGAGTGTGTGGTCTCAATACTCGTCTTTCAATATGAAGACGTGACTATATTCACCACACCTTTTCACAATAATTCTTTTGAGATAAAAAATTGGGTACTACCCGCAAGGGGTTACTATCTGAGGATCTATTTCACCCCCTAAAAACAACTTTCACAAACCAAATGTGACATCTTGCCTCAAAGGCGAAAACTATCTCTTTTCAAAACGGATATGTTACGTCCGTTCTACCGCAAACAGGTAACGCCTAAGACTCCACGAGCGAGCTACAATACACTTAACTACTAGAATGCGTACATTAACATTATCCACCAAAAATACCAGTAAACCGTACCCCGAACTATGTTCGTTCTGATTTCTCATACCAGATGAGAATACGTAGGCACAAGACGGCGATGTCTTGGCGAGCGCACTTTTCCACCTTTCACCCGTAGTTGGCCGAACTACGACTGCTCTGATTCTTCATTCCCTAATAAGGATACATAGGCACGAGGATCTCTATCCTTGACGAGCACACTAACAACTAACTTCCCCTTTCTCTTGCCCCAGTGCAATCGAGACCAACCTGTTATTCAAACCTTTTCTCTCGCACCAGTGCGATCGAGACCTTTTCCCGTAGTTACCCGAACTACGTTTGCTCTAATTTCTCATACCAGATGAGGATGCGTAGGCACATGACGACGATTTCTTGGTGAGCAAGCTTCCCCCCATCACTCGTAATTTCCCGAACTACGTTGACTCTGACTTTCTCATACCCGTTGAGAATACGTAGACATAGGGCAGGGATGTCCTATCGAGTCTCTTCTTCCCATTTATCCTTCTTTTCCCTGTTTCTAGACTTTCTCTTTATCCCTTGGAACACTCTTACATATCAATAATCTTTTAGCAGATACCTTTACACATAGACAAACAAAGGGTTCCCATCGAGTACGATGGATGCGAGGGGTGCTAATACCTTCCCTTCGCATAACCAGTTTCTGAACCCGTTCTTGGTTATGAGACCATCTTATCCGTTTCTTTTTTAGACTTTTCTCGATATTTTCCCTTTCCCTCATAGAATAAATAAAGTTTGATGGCGACTCTTCTGTCTTTCTATTCTCGCCTCTCCGTCGTTGCATTTTTCGAGTAACGACAACATCCATGGGGATACCAAAAGAAAAGGGGTGTTATGAAAAAACCACAATTGGTTTTACGGCCATTTTACGGCCCACCCGAGTTTCATAAAGGCAACGTCACACAAAAATCCAACAGAAAAGAGAATCCTGCATCTTATCTTCTTTCTCGGTTCTCGCTTCCGCCTCTTTCACCAACATCCACTAAAAAAACAGATTTAAGGTTCAACAAATATATAGCGGCTCTCAATCAAAGCAAACATGGATCCAATCAATCAACAAACACGAATCATCGTGAGCAAGATATAGGAAGAGTTACCAACAAAGGGCGAAGGACCGCGAGATGCTTAAATGGAGGATCTAGGAGTAACAACGGTGATGACGAACTCCGGCGGCTTCGCAATGACCTCTGTGCGTGATAAAGATTCGTCGTCCTCTCCCTGTTTATGTTCTCTATGACCCTTTATATAGGCTCAGAAAGATTTGAAATTTCAATTTTGAAATTAAATGTGAGATATTATGTCGGGATTCATTTTTGGAAAGAAACATAGTTGCTAACTGTGATGAATGAATTTCTATTTTTTAAAAAACATGTTTGCATGAATTGAAAGACTTTCCTTTTCACCTGATTTGTGTCTGAGACGTGTTCTGCTGGAAAACCCAGAGATTTTTTATTACATTTGGACAATGTCTGATTGTTTGGATTGAGGAATTAAAATTGTTGTTTTTAACTTTAAATTCCTTGCAATTTGAATCAAATAATTTGTTTACCCTCAAACCAGATATTCGTTGGCATTGAGTCCATGTTCAATAATGGAGCAGGGTTTTTTCTTAAACTTCAGCACGAGCTGTATATTCATCTTCACTTAGGTGGCAAGACTGGTGTATCGGTGTCATCATCGAGTTGATTTTCAAAAATGTTGGAGTTACCATGGGCTTCAAATTTTGTTGCAGGGAGGTTGTAATGTGGTTGCTGCTTAGTTTTGATAATTGATGAGGTTTAGGTTGGTTTTTCTTAACGTCATCTTTATTTTTATTTGCAGTGTTTTCCTATCATTTATCCCGTTTCAATCTTCAAACAAGGTACTATGCAAATCAGTAGCTGCAAAAATATGCTTTCAAATGCATGAAGGACTTCGAAAATGGTGGTGCCATTCCAAATGTGTGTTGTATGTTTGTGATGATGTGACTGTTGTTGATTTGCTTGTTGAACTAGATGTGGATGTGTGATTTCGAGAATATATGTTGTTTTTGAACGCTTCCGTTCTAAACTGAACATGTTTGGTTATGGCAGTTTTCGACGTTACTCTAACCACACCAACCTAGATTTCAACGTACAACTCTCCTTGTAGCATCCACCCATGTTGTGATTACAGTTGCTAGAGGTATGCGAAGAAGTCGACCGTCATTTTAATTCCCGCATATAAACGGGAGGTAAAACCTCAAACTACCTATATCTTCTCAGGTGAAATTATTATTGTAGATGTGCCAAGGAGGTTGGTATAGAATTTTGACAACTGTTTCGTATGCGTCTTGTAGGATTTAAACTGATGATATCCATATCTCTCTTACATGATGATCCTTGATGTTGGCTGAGCATGTATGAAGTCCGCTTCCATTTATCACAAAGTGTCCCAACTTCTTTCTGAAGCTTCTAATAATTATTTTAAATGACAAGACATCAAGGCAAAGTTACAACGCAACATATATATGGTTTCTTGAAATGATGTTGCTTAGATATTGAAGAAGTTGAGTTGGCATTCCAAACTCCTTCTCGCATAATGAATGTTCACGCCAAACTTCTAGTTTGGCTTTTGGTTGCTTCCGGTCTTCGAAATGAGTGTATGTTCTTTAGAAGACATGGGTCTTTCGTATATTCAAATAAAGGTATCATAGCAGTTTTGGAATCTATATGATCTGTATAAAAACTTTTGTCCTTAAACTTTCGTGGACTTGTCCTTGATGAATAAAATAGCAGTAGCATAGCAGTGATAAGGTTGCTGCCTCCTTGTGTGATGGTAACCATATCAAGCTACCTCTTATGGCCTCATATAATAGCAAGAACGATTTGGCTTGTCATGAAGTAAAGCTTGGGACTTTAATTTCTAGGTGTTGTAGAACTTTCCTCCATGGAGTTTTCTCTTGAAACTTGGATGTCTGATCTTTTTGTAATGTAATTACCCTTTGTTTGTAACTGTAATTTGTTATTGCTCTTGTATTTGAATGAATTTTGTAACCTTTGATTGAAATTGAATTTTATAACTTGATTGAAATCACCTAAAGGTTGCAACTTGATTGAATTCAAATGAAGATTGTAACTTGATTAAATTCACATGACTTAAGGAAAAAAAGACATGGACCCTTAGTGAATCAATTTGAAATTGGGATTTGATCTTTGCTTGTAATCAGATTTTAAACTTCATGAACTTTTGTATGGTGAAATCTAATCTTGAATTGAGCTCAAGACTTTAAACCTTCTTGAATAATGGCAAATGAACTCGAATATTGATTTCTTACATGAATTTTTGGAATTAAGGCCTAATATGCTTTGAGCTAAATGGACCTTAAAACTTAACTTCTTAAATATTGAAAGTCGTCATAAATCATGTGAAGATTTTCTTGCTTTTTCAATTTGAGCTCTTCGTCTTTGAGTGGTGAATCATTCATGATGGCATGCGAACCATTTTACCATTCTTGAAATTTTCAAAACTAAGCAATATAGAGATTCTTGCTTTAGAGAGCTAGTGGTAGCGATTTTCATCCCGTGTTATTTACCATTTATAGCAATTGGTAATGAGGTTCAAATATGAAGATTTGATTAGAATCTTAAACAGAATTTGCCTTAAATTTTAGTTTTAACTACTCTTGTGATGAGCACACTTGAATCAGTGGATTTTAATCACGAGTTTTGAGATCCATTAACTCCACTCTTGAAAACACTATCATGATAAACCATTCCTTTGAATTCAGACGTTTGGATGATGGTCGTAGTGTGACCATGTTATTAAACCAACATTTTGTTAATTTTGGAAACATGAAAACTCTTAACAATGGCCAAACTTCTTCAAAGGATAAAACTCCCAAGATAATGCCATATTACAACCAAGCTTGAAATTTCAAGGCCCAAACTATAATGCACCAAAGCTCAACAAACCCGAGTTTGAGGTCAAAGCACCAGTTCTCAAATTCCCATGCTCAAAATCAAATGGAAAGTAAAAACCTAATTCTTTGGGGTGTATCCTGAAACTTTTGAGAAATTCGGAGGTAAATAACCGCCAGAAATCCTAGAACTCTTTGAATTAGAATCCATTGGTCCCATCTTGAAGTACTGGATTGAGAAAAGAATATTGTCCACTTCTTGAAATTAATATGCCTGCACAAACCAGTTAGTCATGAAACAGATGGTTGACCTATAATGATGCACTATGATGCGAAAGGAGGTGGGATCTTAGGATTAAAAATTAGGGTGTGACAGATGCCCCTATTTAAGTTTCTTCTATTCGGAGGTATGGAGATTGAAATCTTCGTCTCGACGTGATAGGAGGAAATTAAATACAAACATTGCATGAACTTTTGGCCCTAAAATGCCACAAGATGCATATGATATGAAATGATATGATATGAAATGCAAGACGAAGATCCACTGGGGAAGAAAGCCACAAGGGATATCTATATACGGAAAACATTACAACACAGTTAAAGAAAAGGAAAACCCGGCGAGGAATAACTTAGTAAAGCAAGACTCCAAGAGAAAAGATTCAGCTCCACTAGAGAAGAGACAAACAACCACCATTGGGGGATAGCTTATGGTATCTCCAACAAAATAAAAGCTTATAGCCTACTATCAAGAATATGATAGCCTGAACAATAGGTAAGAAACTTGAAAGGAAGGATAACCTACTACCAACAGATGATAGCCTAAGGAAATGCATCCATTTGAAGTAAAGAAACACATGTTACATACTATCAATCATAGGATAGCCTAAGCAAAGGTAAACATGAAAAGAAGAGATCACGTACTACCAAACATGGTAGCCTAAGCAAAGGTGTCTGACTCAAAGAAAGGTTTGTTACCTGCTATCAAACATATGATAGCCTAAGTACAGGTAAACACAAAAAGAAAGATGACCTACTACCAAACCTGGTAGCCTAAGCAAATGTATCTGTCCAAAAGGTACAATATATTACCTACTATCTAACATATGATAGCCTAAGCAAAGCTAATAACCAAAATAAACTTCCATGATCAAAATATGATTCAGCTTCTTCTTTGACTAAATGATTCATTTAGAAAAGGGTAAGATAAACCTCCCCACGCTTCAAGGTTGTATGCCATGAACGAGTCTCAGTTTCTTCTTTAATAAAATATTCCACTTGAAAGGGTAAAATAAATCTCCCCACGCTTCAAGGTTGTATGCCATAAACGAGTCTCATTTTCTTCATTAATCAAGTATTCCACTTGAAAAGGGTAAAATAAACCTCCCCGCACTTCAAGGTTGTATGTCATAAACGAGTCTCATTTTTTTCTTTAATCAAGTATTCCACTTGAAAAGGGTAAAATAAACTTCCCCATGCTTTGAGGTTGTATGCCATGAATGGGTATTAGTTTCTTCCTGCAATGGTGAATATTTATGAGAGAGTATTTTCACAGGGTATTGTAGTTTCACTAGAGATTTATGACTTCAGTGTGGAATCCATAACTTACTGGAGATTAGGAAGTAACAACGAGGATCTTCAAAAGAGATGCAGGCCAGTTGATTTATAAAACATGTCTCCTCAAATAAAGAGAAAGATCAACTGTAGGAATATTCACTAAACTTCCCGGGGAAATGCCATTTGATAGAATTAACTTTGTATAATAAACTCACTGGGGAGTACATTCCTGAAGAGCATTATTGCTGTAGTTTGAAATTGCATTGAAGAAAATAAAATTCTTGTAAGGGGAATTCTCAAATAAAGAGAAACACTTGTAGAGTCTTCAACAAACTTCTCTGATGAATTTCCGAAGAGATTCCATCTAATGAAGGACGAATTGATAATCTTGATAATTTCTTTGGGGATAGACAAATTGTCTTGGAAAGAGACTGCCATTTGACATCCATATCAGAAACATGAGAACAAAATAAGCTGCTCAAATAAAGAGGTTGTTATTTGCTGTCTGGGTATGAATTGTTGGAGAATAGGATTCTATCTTCCATGGTGATTTTTAAATAGATTCTTCCTGGGGAGACAAAGTGCAAAATAAACGCACACTCGATCTAGATTCAAAATCCTAGAGAGATTAAAAAATCGTGATTGTTAAGGGCCAAAGTTTAATTCAGGGAATAACTGAAAAGAAACGGTCAAGCAAGACCCTACCCAGTGAGGGATGAACTCGACTGGAGTTTATTTTATCCAGAAATGGAAAAGAAAACCAAAGCAATTGTCTTCCACGAGGGTCGAACTCAGTGGGGAATTTAGAAATGTTGTGCTCTTTCTGCCTAGAGCTGACGACTCTACTTTGAGGGAGAAGAAAATCCCAATCACTTGGGGGTGAACACGACCAAAGTGAAAGAACAAACGAACACAAAAATGCAAAATGCAAATGCCATGTATCTATATGATATGCTTATTCTTATGCTAACAAAACAAACGAAAAGAAGAAGAAACTGGAGATGAAATAAACATCTCAACGAGGATACTTGGCCAATCTTCAAAGATGGAAACATAACTGGGGATAAACGGAAAAACACATATGGGACCATAGTCCTGCTTCAAAGCTTCACAACTTCCTTGAGGAAAGTAGAGTACTCCACTTGGGGATATAACGTCCATACTTCACTTGAAGGATTGTCAAGATGAGTCTAGCTACTTTGTTAGAGATGAGAATAATCTACTAGAGAAAGGATCAAACTCATAATTGGAGAGACTTCATGGATAAAATAAATATCCGCTTCATTAGAGAGAATATTACTAGAGAAGAGGATAAAATAAATATCCACTTCATTGGGAAATCTTGAATCAGAGTCAGAGTTGAGACTTCATGGAGATGAACTAAACATCCATTTCACTGAGGAAGATTGAAATTGTCAGAAATCCACTGAAGAGTAAGGTGACATTTACTTCACTGGGAAGGTTAAAGCCTAGGAAACCCACTGGGAGTTCTAGGTCACTGGGGATTCCTCGTAGAAAATTTCTTGGAGTTTGAAGATAATGTAATCTTGTATCTCAAAGTCTATCCTTTCTTGAAA